AGAAAGCAGAGGCATTGCTGAAGTGTTCGGAATCTGACTGTAGAAAGTCCTGAATGAGCCGAAGATGGCCTTGGCGGCGACGCGCAGTGAGGGTTGGCTTTGGGGTGATGAGGTCGAGAACTCTAAGAGCGCTGTGTAGCTTCTTGGTTTCCTGCGATGTTCGTGTGAGGTTGGGAGAAGAGAAGAAGGGCTTAGAGTGTGATGAATGTGTCTGTAAGATATATTGAGAAAGTTTGTTCCTGAAACTGAGAGGCTTGAAGGAGAATTCCATTCATTCGTGTGAACAAAGCCCATGAAGCTTAGCTGCCACTATTGATTGTTGAGCTTTTTCCTTTCCTTTTGTTAATCTGATATGTTGATTGCTGATCTGAGCTTAAAAGCTGTATGTGCCAGCAGCCTAACACTACTAAAATAAAACTTTCGAATGTCCCTTTATTTTCACCATACCAATTTGCAGGGTAGTTCTGCTTCTTGCTCTAACAGAAAGACTTGTAGGAAATCTGCCGCTTCGTCACAGTACTTACTTATGGGCTAACGGGTCACACAAGTTCTCATTGAGAATTTTCTCCTCTAGCCATAAAAATGTAATATGTGTAGTGCTATTAAAACATAACATGTGTTACAAGTTTTTGAGTAGCAAGCAAGCACGATGTCATTATAACATAACACGTGTTACAAGTTTTGTTTAGGAAAAAGGGTGGTTCATGTTCCCATATATTAGCCCAACAAAAAAGAGCACCCTAAACATCTTTCAGCTTAATCTACTGTTTCCAACCTTCGCAAAAATATTTCGAAGGACAAAAGATTTCCCCTATTGCTTCAGGTTCTAAGCAAGTAAGAACCTTATATTAAAATGCCACCCTCGTATCAAAATGAAATGCCCATTTTGAATGACTGCATAACATAGATAATTGAAATCTCAAATCAGCTACTGTCATGGAAGCTCATAAGTTCAGTCATAGTTCTACCGCTGTAGTTATGAGCTCCCATGAAAGTAGTTACTTTCTATCACCCGACAATAAGGTATCAACATTGACATCCAGATTGTTTCCTTCTGCAGATAACATGCAAGTTTCTTCCTGTCCATTTAGGAGGGCTGTCTCATGAGCAGATAGATTGCTCAATGACATGTCTCGATGCCGTCTCCTTCTTAAAGTAGATAAGGTACCATCTTCCTCAAAGTCCTCTTCGCCTCTTTCTCCATGTAAATATACCCACAACTTTCTGTGTCTGTCAAATTCTACACATGGATCAAATTCATATTGCAGCCGAGACAGAGCAGACCTAATAACGTGGGTAAGTTGTTCATCAGAGACATCTTCCACTATATACTGTGAGTGCCGAACAAGAGTAGAAACATTTTCTCTGGTACCAATACTTCCAGGTAATCTAGAAGCTGCATCTCTCACAAGACAGAGATTGGTGATATGAGGCGGTCGATCAGCTTTAAGCATAAAATGATCTCGGTTTCTATATGATGGCTTACCACTGCAACTAGTTAGAGGAGCAACTGCAGACTTTCGACCATCCAGTGCTGTGTAAGAAAATGCCATATCTGGGACTAAATACCTCAAAGCTTCCTCCCTTTGAAAGTATGCTCTTACTTCTTCAGAGTTTGGACTGATAGCATTCTTTCGAGACATTATGTCCCTGAACCATTCGCTTTCATCTAGTGTTGGTTGCATCAAAATCAAAGGTGGTGCAGGAAGGCTTCCAACTTGACGAATTCTCTCTTGAAAACTCTTGTACCAAATAGCAAAGGAATCAACCAACTTCACAAGCACATTATGGCGAAGACTCCAAGCTTTAGAAGATACATATTCCTCATCAGCATTGCATGAGTTAACGTTGATGGGACCAATCCATGACCAACATTTACTGGACTTGCGATAGAAAGTGAGTGGCTTCCATCCCCTAGCTCCTAAAGGCGCTGTTTTGGATGAAAATATCTCCAAAACCCCTCTGAGTAAATCTTGAAGGGGCTCTTGGGTTTGAAGAATAGAAGGATCCATTGGAGTTGATCTAACACGCTCAACAATCTTGTTAAGAGTGAGAGAAGGTAAACTTTTGGAATTTGTTAGTACAGAATCGCTAATGCCTTTATCTTTGAGAGAATAAAATCGAATTATCCCTTCAGCATTGCTAACCCCTTGAGCATTTCCATACACCACATCATCACCTTCTGCATGTGGAACAACCATTGCTCTTCGAATGGCAGTAAGGAGATGCACAATGGAGAATGAAAATCCTGTATGAACAGTAGGAACGGGCAATTTGAATCCCTGCCTTTTCAAGGGTAAATTTACTGGTGCTGCAACTTCCACAGTTTTTCTTTTTGAATAGGATCCTGCCACCCTTTTCCGTTTCTTTGCCATTAACATGCGTAGTCTATCATGACCACGACTATCCAACAACTGACATGGTTCATTCACATTATCATCCTTCTCACTGACATTACTTTTCATATATTTTGGTACGAGCGAAGATAGCTTCTTAAACATTTTCATCTTTTTCCGCTTTCTCCCTGCAGGATATGGCACTGCTGGCAAATGAAAATCTAAGACTGCTGCAGCATCTTCATCCTTCATAGAACCTCCAAAGTCGGTTTTCTGACGCTTTACCAAAAAATTAACCTTTCTCCCAGCCACATCCGAATGACTATCACCCCTCGACATCCCCTTCGAATCCTTTATGCTTGGAATCCCTTTCACACTATGCTTCATTCCATGTGAATGTAACCCGCCATGAAGCAGACTAGGATCTTCATTAGCCAACTGTACCAAAGCATGTGTGGCATCTATATGACTCTGAATAGCCATTTGCCAAGATGGATGATGATGGTCTCTTTTGAACTCATTTTTCATACTTCTCAACTGCTCTGCCCACAGCACTTTGAGTCCTCCATTTTTCACTTTCCTCATTGAACCGTGGCTTCCAGTTTCCATATTTCTTCAATCTCAAAATTGAAGGCCGTCACAGAGAAAAATCTTAGGTTTGACTAACAGTGTAAATAAATAGCATAGCAAATAATCGTAGAGTAGTCATCATCATCATTTCTTGACACTGAAACTCCAGCATTAGTCTTCACTACATCTCAATTCACCAAGGAAAAATTCCAATTGTATTCCTGGTCGAATTTTAAAAAAGGTAAAAAAAATAAATGCAGGGACTGTGTTAATTGGTAAGAAAATTTAAGAACAATTCAAAATTCGAATAACAAGTTTATTGCAAAACAGCACTTAATAAAACAAAGGCTTTGTTTAGTCAACCCAACAAGACAATTCGTGAAAGAAACCCACAATAGATATCACGATTATTTATTCTAACGCACTCCGAATCTAAACTTTTTCATCATCACCACGACCTAAAGAGTTCATGAAATTCAATATTTACCCAAAAATACCCCTATAGAGCCTATGATACAACCTTTCCTGGAAAAAAACACAAACAAGCATTTGGCTTCATTGAGCAGCAAACCGGCAAACCAGGGGAGGAAGAACCAAAAAGGAGGCATACTAACATCTAAGAAAGAAAAAAAAGGATTAAGATTTAACCTTGTGTTGTGATCTTTGTATAATGGCATACTAAAATAACTGCATATAGTGTTTGGCAGCAGAGAAAAAATGTGGGGAAATGAATAAGATAGTTGGTTTAGCTGCAACAAAGAAAAAGGCTACATTTTGTTTACACAAAACACAATATACAATATAAAACAGATTACTAAAAAGTACAAATTGTTTCGAGTTTTTTCATTTTCACAGAAACCAAATAACTTGATGAGAACAGAGATTGGAGGGTACCTTCCTTCCTAGTTAGCCACACCACTTGGTTTCTGAGTAGACAATAAAAACTCAAAGCAGAGAGCAAATGGAGGAGCGTTTGGTGGATGAAAAACCCTAGAGAAGCACATAGTAAGTACGGAAGAGGAAGCGTGTAACAAGGGGTATTAATTTGATCTTTATTTTCTTTTCTTTCTGGGGTTTTATGTATGTGTCGCGTTGTGACTTGTTGGTGAAGAGGACGATGCTGACATGGAAAAGCAAGTGTAAACTAACGGGATATTGGTGATGTGGATGGATAATGAAAAGACGTAAAAGGACAGGGCAGTTTTCATTTCGGAGTTCATTGATATTCCCGAGTTTTTGTTTTTTATTTTTTATTTTTATATTTCGGTTGACATATTGCTGAATTTATTCCCACGATATTGTTGGGATTTTAGCAAATACAAGCATTATGCATTAAGAAGCAATAAGAAAATAATCTAAGCTCTTTTTTTTATAGCTCAAGTATTCAAGTAGCTATTTCTATCTTGAAAAAGCAATAAGAAATTATTCTAAATGCCAAGTGCCAATGAGGGTTGGTTCAGTTGGAAAGATCCTTGCATTATGTGTAGCCTTATTAGTGTTCGAGTCCTGCTGTCAATAGTCCTTATTGGTATGCGATCTGAAATTTCCTACATAAATCCATATCCATGACATCTGGCAATTGGGTGTCACGCGTAAGTCCTTCCGGCTCGAGGTTGTGGGTATACCCCTGGCGTTGGTGGTAAGAGTAGCCAATCTCTCTCTAAACTTTTTTTCAACTAATTTTTTATTTTTTATTCTAAGCTCTTTCTCTATATTTTCTGTTTTGATAGCTCTTGAAAAAGGAGTGAAATCATGTTTGAATCATTATCCCCTAAAATGCCAACGAGGTCTGGCCCAATGAAAAATGGCTTTAACTTGCAGACCAAATGTCTCAAGTTTGAATCCCCACGACATCATAGTTGTGTGTGTGTGAGAATCCCCCCTCCCAGAAGAAAATGACAGGAGGAAAAAAAAAAAAAAAAAAGAATACCCCCTCCCATATAGTTTAGACTATCGCTTGTACTAAAAAAAATAATTATCGCCTAAAATATAACACATACTTGCGCTACATTCACATTATAAAGGAAAGAATTGATTTTAAAAATTGTTCGACTAATGAGTTTTGGTCATGCAATGCAGGCAAGTAAATTACTCAACTTGATCAACACCCACCAATTAATCTTGTATTAGTAAAGCCTAACATGTTACACGCAATACAACAATATCATTGACTAATATAACAGTCACCTAAGTCTCACTGTTCACCTTCCAATTCAGTATCCATTTTTAAGTACTCTCAACCATCTAGCAAGACGAGTTTTCAAATCATTTATCCTCTACACCAGGCTGTTTCTGGTACATCTCAATGTAAATGTAACCCCATCAACCTTTCGTTATGTTCACTGTTTATGAACCGTTGGAGTTCATCACTGAAGCATCTTCAGGTACTTTGGGGTTCATCACTGAAGCATCTTCAGGTACTGAGGCCTTCTTTCCCTTACTTCCCGTGGTTTTGGCTTTATGTGTTCGAGATCGAGCCATAGCATACCTAGATTTATGGACAGGTTTCTTGCTTTTCCTGAGAGTTTTTAGGGCTAATGTTTTCAGTGGAACCATGATGTCCAGGGGCAGTAGCACTTCTTTCAATTCAGTCCAGTCGAGATCTTCAAAGTCGCCATCTTCATACACCACCCTGTACCAGCCTGATTCTTTATCATACTCAGTTACTGTACCGGAGTAGTATTGCTCTCCAAACAACTTTCTTACTTCCCTTCCTTCCAACCATTCACCAAAGTTAGTTTTTCCATGGGATTCTGCATCATGCACAGTATTAGAGATAGCAAGAAGAGTGCCATCACTTGGGGGAATCTCAGGCATTCCATTAATGACAATAGCAGGCTCCCCAGGTAACTCATAGATCTCTGCCAACGAAGGCTCAACTTCCTGCTCGTTGCTGGTGTTTTCCATTCCTATAACTCTTTCTCATATATGTGAAAAGGCTGCAATGATTTTTATAATTAAGAAATCATTATCTGACCATAAGATGAGTATAATTCTTCAAATTCAAAAGTTGCAACGCAAGAAATGTCAACAATTGAAGTAATCGACTAGAAAAGTTACGCCAAGAACTGTAGAAGCAAGCACATGAAGGGGAGGAGACCCAAAAAAATTGTGAAAAGTAAACACGTAGGACTGGCAAAATCTAAACTCGTCCTATTTCAGTTTGGTATATAGAAGTCTAAAAACTAACAAATACTAGCCTCTTGCAATATTGCAAATGCAGATTGAACCCTCCAAAAGAAAAACAGTGACGGATTTCTCACCGAGGCATTTGTTCAAACAGATGGTACCCTATAGGCAGTAGGAAACCTCCTCAAAGGCAAACGGATTAAGTTACCATTAAGCCCCTGTAAAGTCTGAGATGCAAAGATTTTGGTGAACACACAGCAACTTTTTGCAAGAATGAAGAAGAGGTCACTAACTCTAAATCCAAATTTATCAAAAATTACCAAAGGTACCAAATTCGTCAAATTCCATGCAACCTCTCACTGTCACTACCCAATTGTTCCAAAAGGAAAATATCAATTAATTCAAGAGTTTCCAGGAAAAATCCATTTTCCAATTAGCTCGGCTTCAGCTCGTGCAAGAAACTAAAATCCAAACCAATAAAAAAGCACAAATTTTAACTGCAAACGTATAGAAATCACACATTTCTTCGTAACTTGCATATCAAAAAGTTGACCCAAGTTTTTCCATTGAAGGACGCTAGATTTTCCAGAGAAACACATTTCAGCGAAGTGGGTTTTGCTTGAATGAGCTTACCGCTGAAAATTCGGAGAAGAAGAAGAAGGATGTTGCTTCTTGAATCTTGTACAAAAACCAACAGCAAATCCCTTAAAACTGTTTCAGGTGAACCTGATTGAAGTTCCTTTTAATTTACTTGATTTATAGTTAGGGGATAGGAAGGTAATTTCAATCCAAAGGGAATATTAGCGGGTGGAGTTTTTTAATTTTAAGACTAATTTCCCGGCTCGCTTCGCTTCTTCCACCTATAAAATTGGCGCGAGCGAATTACAATTTTTTCTTCTTTTTGTTTCTTTTGTATAAGGATTTGATCTTGAGAACACTAGTCTACAAATTAAAGTAATTTTTTTCTAAACCATCAAGAGTGGCCCATGGTTTGTCCGCCATTTGAATAAGGCTCTGGGGTTCAGTTGAGTTTGCTCCCCAGTTCAAGTTCTGACAGTTGCAACACCTAGTGGTCAGCGACAAGCTCAGTTTCGCGAGTAGGGATTAGTCGAGGTGCACTCAAGTTGACTCAGACACCTCATATTATTTACCCCCTCCCCAACCCCAAAAAAAGAGCGTCATTTTTCTCTAGCTAAACCCCGTTGGAGGAGGAATGTGTATTCTAGGAGTAATTTTCCCCATCACTGGTCCTTTTAGGGTAGTTTAATATATAAATATATATATATATATTTTTCTTGCATAAAAAGCTAACTTTTAAGTATTAAGAACTTTTTATTTTATTTTATAAGAACCGGGTCCGGGTATAGTGAGAAAGAAGATATAACGTAGAAAAGCTATAGCTATAAAGAGAGGAGCAGTTAATCTTGTACGAATAATAACAAATGAATGTGGTTTCCAAAGCCATTGAACATTCAAATCTCGGCCACCACCAACGGCTACGTCCAACGAGCCCTACAAGGCCTCCACAGAGTCGATGTGCTCGACTGCGGGGCTTATGGCCAACTCATTCAGCACTGCACAGACCGCCGCCTGCTCCGTCAGGCCAAGCAGCTCCATGCCCGCCTCGTCCTCTTCGCAGTCGTGCCCAGCAACTTCCTGGCCTCAAAGCTCATCACTTTGTATTCCAAAACCAACCACCTCAGCCAAGCGCGCAAGGTGTTCGATCAAATTCCCCACAAGAACACCTTTTCATGGAACGCTATGCTCATTGGGTATTCTTTTAACAACATGCATTCCGACACTCTGAAGCTGTTTTCAGCTATGGTGTCTTCGTGTTCGGACGAAGTGAAGACTGATAATTTCACAGTTACTTGTGTCTTGAAGGCTTTGGGGGCTTTGCTTTCCGGTTCAAGATTGGCTAAGGAGGTTCATTGTTTTGTTTTGCGTCATGGGTTTGATTCAGATGTTTTTGTTACTAATTCTTTAATAACTTACTACTCGAGATGTGATGAGCTTGGATGGGCGAGAACATTGTTTGATAGAATGCCGGACAGAGATACGGTGTCGTGGAATTCGATGATTGCCGGGTATTCACAGGCTGGTTATTACGCAGAGTGTAAAGAGTTGTTTCGGGAGATGTTAAGGTTAGGGAGGTTGAGGCCTAATGGGTTGACAGTGGTTAGTGTCTTGCAAGCATGTTTACAGTCCAGTGATCTTATATTTGGTATGGAGGTTCATCAGTTTGTGAATGAGAGTCAAATTGAGATGGATATTATTCTTTGTAATGCTCTCATAGGGCTATATGCAAGATGTGGTAGCTTGGATTATGCTGAAGAATTATTTCATGGGATGAGTGAAAAGGATGAGGTCACTTATGGTTCATTAATTTCGGGCTACATGTTTCATGGGTTTGTTGACAAAGCCATGGATCTTTTTCGGGAAAGTAAGAAGCCAAGATTAAGTACTTGGAATTCTATGATTTCAGGTCTAGTTCAGAACAATCGGCATGAAGCCGCCTTAGATTTAATTCGTGAAATGCAGGCATGTGGTTGCAAACCAAATACCGTGGCACTGTCAAGTATTCTTCCTGCAATATCCTATTTATCAAATCTGAAAGCAGGGAAGGAACTACATGCTTACTCTGTTAGAAACAATTTTGATGCCAATATTTATGTCGCGACTGCTATTATCGATACTTACGCAAAGTCGGGGTTCGTTCATGGGGCACAGCAGGTTTTTAATCAATCAAGAGGTAAGAGCTTGATCATTTGGACGGCAATAATCTCAGCTTATGCATCCCATGGAGATGCTGATATGGCTCTTGGTCTTTTTTATGAGATGCTAAATAATGGCATTCAACCAGACCAAGTGACATTTACAGCAGTCTTAACAGCTTGTGCTCATTCTGGAGTGGTAGATGAAGCTTGGAAGATCTTCGATGCCATGTTTCCGAAATATGGCATTCAGCCCTCAGTTGAGCATTATGCCTGCATGGTAGGTGTTCTTAGCCGAGCTGGACGACTCTCAGAAGCTATAGACTTAATTCACAAAATGCCAGTTGAGCCGAGTGCTAAGGTTTGGGGTGCACTACTTAATGGGGCTTCAGTTTCTGGTGATGTAGAATTGGGAAAGTTTGTCTGTGATCGTTTGTTTCAGATTGAGCCTGATAATACAGGGAACTACATCATCATGGCAAATTTGTATTCACAAGCTGGGAGATGGGAAGAGGCTGATAAGGTCAGGGAGAGAATGAAAAAAGTTGGACTGAGGAAGATTCCTGGCAGTAGCTGGATTGAAACAAGTGATGGATTACAAAGCTTTATAGCAAAAGATACATCAAACGGAAGAACCGAAGAGATTTATGAAATACTGGAAGGGCTGCTGGGGTTGATGAAAGAAAAAGGTTACGTTTTGCTGGATGAATTAGATGAGGAGAGTGTTAACAATTGAGCCAAGATCATCATAACTGGAAGGCTCAAGCAAAGTAGGAATTGGATGAGGGTCTTTAATGGAATGATGGTTTAAGAACTACCCTATTTATCAGAAATGGCACCTGGATGGTGTGCAATATTGCAGGGCTGTTAAATTCAAGTGTTTTAATTGCTCAGAAGTAGGAACATGTTTCATTCATCATTACAAGTGTATTATGCCTCGCAGTTCAATTTATTTTATTGGGTGTTTCTATTTACGCCCACTTTATTGTTTATCATACACATTCTTTGATTAAAAATTTTATCACTATTTGACATATCCTTTTGAGATCCCAATAGTTGTAATAAGCTTTTGGAATGAACCTGGCCATACTTTAACAAAGCTAGCTGTAAATTCTTTCTTGCTGTTGAAGGATCCAATGATATGTATGATGACAGGATTTACCATTGTGTCTTCTCTAGAAAATGACCAGGGTACCCATTGGGGGATTACCAGCATACCCTACCACACGCACAGGTTGGAAAACGTTGTTTAGGCCCCAAGAGTTCTTGTGGAAGCAAGGGAGATAATGGTAATTAGACACTCATTTTCCAAACTCAGATTCAGGCTCAAAAATTTACTCAAGTTCCAATGAAGATTAGTCGGAGCTGTAGGCGGTGCATGTAAGTGTGAAAGGTGACAGGAAGCCTTGAGAAGCGAAGAATATTGTGGTATGGTTGCTAAGTTCCATCAGCTTCATTTGCATTATTAGCAGTGCAGGGGACAAGAGGAACGCGCCATGGATGGGCCAATTGTTTTTTTTTTCTTCTACTTGTTTTGCTTGGGACAATTCATAATTATTGTGGCTACGTAGATATAATTAAAGAGGAAGGACAAATGGGCTTAAGTGTACACAAACTTAGGGACAAACAAACCTACAAACCCCAGCCACTTCATTCAATTCATCTACCCCACAACCCAGTGCGCTATTGTTGCTAAGTGCTAACAACTCTCTTATCGCAACTTATCAAGTTTGGGTTTTTGCTCTTATATTTATTTTGTAAAGAGATTGAGGGGAACAAAAACAATAGCTCACATGGTAGAGAATATTAAACTCCAAATATGTATTATCAATGGATTGAGATTACTCCCAACTGTTAAAATGCCAGAGTTCGACTCTTGTTTTTCTACTTGGCAAGCCTTCTTTAATCTCCGCTTGTACGCCAACAGATACATATTTTAGGTTCAAATCCCAATAGCATCTTTCTTTTCCTCTTTCAAATTTTCACAACAAAACAAACCTCCACTTGTTCCAAAAAATATTATCAATGCAAAATCGACAGCATGTAATGACAAATGGAAGCTGATATAATGTGAATGTAAAGACCATGATTTATAAGTTTTTGATCCATTACAAAAATCGTGGCTACATAATAATCCATGGCATTTAGCACAAGACTAGAACAAAAGTTCAAGGGGGCATAATGGTCATCACAAGAGACCGCCATGACCAAACTAGTCCAGCCAAAATTCACATAAAAAGCCACAACATTCCTCAACCTTTTCCACACACTACAAAAACAGTTAAAAGGTGAAGTCCAAGCACACGATCCCATAATGGAAGAAACAACAACAGCAGCAACAACAACAATCATGGCTGCTCTGGCCACACTCAGCCCACCCCAACTCTCAGATCTCACCCACACCATCCTCTCTCACACCCACCATCACCGCCTCCGCCTCTCCTCTCTCCTCTCCTCTCCCATCCTCTTCTCTCTCACCCTCCACCGCCTCAACTCCCTCTCTCTCCCACACAAGACTCTCCTCATCGCCAACCACCTCCTCTCCTCCCTCCACCACCTCACCCTCCACTTCCAACCCAACCCGCCACCGCCGCGTGTCAAGCAACGAGACCTAGACTCTGTTCTGCTGCTCCTCTTGCTCTGCGATGTACACCAGCACAACCCAGAAGCCCTCCAAGCACCAACATCAAAATGGCGCGAAATTCTGAGCAACTTGTACTCTGACGACATGTTGACGGTGTCAGGCATTGGGGTCTATAATGGGTCGGCTTTGGTTTCTTACATTGAGGTGCTGACGAGGTGCTTGAGATTTGTCAGTGTCATGGGTTTTTGCTATGGCGGGAAAGTGGGGAAAGAGGTGGCGGCGTCGCCGGCGGGGGGGGGGGGGCCGGCTGCCGTCAGTGGAGGTGAGAGGTGGCGGGAGTGAGTGTGTGATATGTAAAGAGGAGATGAGAGAAAACAGAGATGTGTGTGAATTGCCATGTCGGCACTTGTTTCATTGGATGTGCATTTTGCGGTGGCTGAAGAAGAGGAACACTTGTCCATGCTGTAGATTTAGGCTTCCCACCGATGATGCATTTGGGGAGATCCAACGGCTGTTGGAGGTTTTGGTCAAGATTGCTAATGAAAAGGGTTTAATCTGAGGGCATTGATTAGCCGAGATCGGGTACCAATGTTCAGTGGATTTAACTTAATTCCATTGATTGTGTATTTTTCTTCGTACAAACAATATTGGAGGGAGGAGGATTCGAACACATGATTTCGGATACAGAAATAACTACTCTTAATTACTTAATTTATAAGTCCTTGTCGAGTAATTGTGTATTAATTAGAGTAGATTAGTTTGTACTTAGTACCAAGCAGTCTTTTACCTTGATTTTTTAAAGTTGTATATGTAAATAGTATATGGTGATCATAAACAAGTACACGTGTTTCAATCAAATGGGTTATGGATTTTCTGGCTGTGAAGAGATTTATTTAGGATACGGGGGGGGATTGCAATTTGCATGGATGTGATGAATGGGGTGTAGAGAATCACACATATATAATACTTGATATTGACGCATGTGGTTTGGGGCTATAGGAATATGTAGATGAGTTTCGTAGCTAATAATGAGACTACGAGAGCCAAACAGATGTTTCGTAGCTAATAATAAGCAAACTGATAAATAATTTGTTTTTAAGTTTTATGTGTGTATTTATCAAAAGCCAATGGTCATAATTGGGTGGATAGGGTCATGAAATATAATCCATATCTGTAGATTAAATAATTTTCCACTCCAATAACATGAGGCATTTCTCTTTTTTTATTTATATTCATATTTATTTGCAATTTCAAATCCCTTAATTGCTTTCAACATTATAAAACATTTGGTCATTGGCAATTGAGGGTAGACTTAAAAATTGCATTGAGAAAATATAGAAGAAGTGTTGAGGGTAGTTCTAGATCTAGCCGCCCCAAACGAAATAATGCAGGGAATTTATTGAAATCATTGAATTCAGAATATGGTAAAATAGCTCCTAGGTGGGGAATTGCTCATTTGATAGGTCTCGCAATGGCTCTATTTGCAACATACTAATCACACATACAATAAAAACAAAACCCCAATTGGGAACCTAAAAATTATAATTCACCTAAGTTCAGATCCAACTGAGACTCTGACACAACACCGATTAAATCAAGTGGAGATTTTGGGCACACTAAAACCAACCCTATAAAATAAAATCTGGTCAGTTCCCAAGATTGAAAACATTTTTTTGACCAAAAATGAAATTAGCCAATAAAAATCCAAATCTCCCTAAATCCATAAAATGTGGATGGGCTCCGTTTTCAGGTCGGCCAATTATTAGAAAAATTTAGGCGACGAAGTCCACCTATGCTCAACCACAACTAAATGAGCCCAAAAGCCCAAAACCAGTGCAAGAGCTTATGGTTTTATGGAGCTTGGAGCTAACAGCTAAGATGTTTTTATAAAAGGTGGAAAAAGGGAGACTAAATTTTTTTAATTTTTTTATTTAAATACAAGCGATAATCTAAACTAAAAAGGAAGATGGAGGTTTCTCTCACACACTACTAAGGTGCTATAGGGGTTCGAATATTAGATCACTAGTCTGCAAGTCAATACCATTTTCCATTGAGTTAGACCTGTTGACAAAGACACTCTAATTTTAAGCTGCCTGAGATTGTTGCAGCATTTTAAGATAACTAAATAGGTTTAAGCCTCATTAGGAGCAAATGTTGCAGCCTGAGCTTATCCGTAACGCTATCACGAAAATCATTTATAAGTAGCTTCATTATTAGGAGCAAATGTTGCAGCATTTGAAAGCCTATCGTAGGTATGGGAATGTTTACACATAAACAAGTTCAAGAGACTAAACAACATGTTTAGCTATGGGAATGTTTTTCAAAACATATATATATAGATTCTGGACCCTTCTTGCTCTTCCAACTGGATTGATGTTGAAATCATGAAAAACTTGGAAGGATAATCCACTGTGCCAGAGGCCCCCACTCACAATAATTTGTAGCGGTCCAGTCCGGTTAATGACAATGAGTGTGCTTAAAGCTCTTGCCTTCTTCTTCATTATATATTCAATAGAGAAAGATGAAGTTTGGTAAGCAGATGTATTGATGGCGCATGATCAAATAAAGAAATATGCTTAGTCATTTCTTTGAGTGCAGTTCAAGCGTAATTACTTTGACACCCTTAAAACAGAAATAATGTTCACCTTATATTTTTTCATGAATTATTATATATGAAACACAATGATTTCAATATTTACACCAAAGCATACACAATTGGACATGGTATGGTGACTTGGCCAGTGGTGTTTTCTAAATTGTTCTAGTAAAATAGAAGGTGTTGCAGCCACCTACCCAAGAATATGGTGTTGTCAATTTTTTTAGGAGATCCCATCTGGAAAACAAATTCAGAATTTGACCCAAGAAAGAAACAAATTAAAAATGGAAGTGGGGCTTTTTTAACATTTATATCCAAGATGCTGGTGCATGTGAGTGTACATTGCATATGTCTGCATCATACATGTTAATGCATGACACTTTTAATATGAAGCTCAAGGATCTGTGATGAAGCTCAAACTGGGGAGAGCAAGAAAACAGAGAAACAAAGATCCATCTGCAAATCGTATTGTTTGATATTCAACTAGTGTCCAATTTAGTTTTTGTGCTATTGTTTATGTCAGAAACAGAAAACTATATATGACAGATAATGTGAACAAAAACCATGAGCAAGATGGGTGGAGGATGAGGACAATTCAGTAAAATCACATGACAGTAACAGCCAGAAAGAGCCGCATCAAGAACATTTACTTGTATGATCGATGTCCTTCAAATTTCAAAATTTTAGATCTATTTTCAAATTTTTAGATCTATTCATATATAATATCACCCCCCTCTTCCCTCCTCAGAAGCCTGCAAATCAATAAATGAAGTCTGTAGCCAAAACTAAAATGGTCCTCACACATCTGATACAGTAAATGGTCTAAATTTTCTGCTTATTAGAAAACAAAAACAGTATTGTAGAATTATCAGAACCCTAATATGATTTAGCATTGAGTGCCTTATCAGCGATGAAAGATCTCCAAGGGAAAAAAAAGGGGAAAGTGGCCTAAAAGAAGTGTAAGGAGTGAGGACAAAGGATGGGGCACGGTTTAGGTGCACAACTTTAACAAAAGTGGTCAAGTGCTTAAAACCAAGGCAACAAAATAAATGATTTTGCGTCCATATAAACTTTTGGCTGAGGGCATAAATGAACAGGTAAGACTTTGGCAGATGATCACAGTTACCAACAACATACTTTGAAGTACAGAGGCAGTGTCTCTTCTGTAAATGAAATATCTCCCACCTGGTATTGAGCAAAGACACTGTTCTTGGTTTTCTAAACATTGACTGCGGCATCTGTGTTTTTGCCAAGTTTAGATTCTCCACCAGAAAATAAAAAGAAGGGACATTTCAAGTTTTCTTTTTTTCTTAGGATTTCTTCAAAAAGGGCAGAGTTGAATTTTGAAGAGGTGGAAGTGGCTCTTGAGTAGAGTTGAATATGTAGTTGGGGGAGAGTGTCTCTTGAGTACAGTTGAATACTGAAGATTGAGATCAAGAATTTGCTGTATTGAAAGATCAAGTAGAAAGACAATGATTGCTACTAGCAAGGAAGATGGAAAATGGAGGTGGGTTCTCTCTCTCTCTCTCTCTCTCTCTCCATTGTTGACAATGTGATGTGGGTTTTGTCTCAGTGATAGGAAGATGGAAGGAGATGGTGGTTTGAGGACATTGGAGTGCCTAAGAGGAAGACTGCTTGCAGAGAGACAAGCTTCAAGGGTTGCAAAAGAGGATGCAGAACTCATGGGAAAGAAGGTAATTTTCTAACTTCAATTACTGTTGAAGGCACTGAATATTTCTTTTAAAAAATTATACTAACTCTCAAGTAAAATCTAGACTAGAGTAAGAGTTACGTATTGTCACATTCACATTATAATGTTCTAAATTGTGGGGCTTAGAACAGTTGATGGAGCTAAAGAATCAGCTCAATGAAGAGATCAAATTGAAGGACAGAGCTGAAAAAAAGCTTAGATTTTTGAAGAGAAAGCTTGAATCTTTGAAAATTTCCTCCGCATCAGTAGAATCCCAACAGTCAAGTTCCTCCAAAAACAGTGAAATATCTTGCAGTCAATCCACTACTACTTCATCAGCAGGCTCCAATGACCCAGAAGCCCATGAACCCAAATCCAAAGTTACAGAGTCAGAAAACTCAGAAAATTTTGATCGAAGTGTAGCAGACACCACCACATCTGAGCAAAGCCATGAAAGTCTCTTCACTGAAGAAAACACAACTGCTCAAAGTACCAGTGCTTCCAGTTCCAGTTCAAGTACTAGCATAGGATGTCCTTCCCCAGAAGGGTTTTGCCACAACCCAACTCACAAATCTGAAGATTCAAAGAATGATGAAAATAGGTATGCAAGTCCAATTAACCTGAGAAGTTCTTTCAAGCTTAGTGTGTGTACTTAAAAATGTTCCTGGCATTCCATGTTGGGATTTGCTTAATTAAAGTAATTAAAATAAAATTTGGCAATTGTTTCAGTTATTCAAACATAAAATCTTCAATGGCAGAGATTGAGAATTTTGAGAATGGTCACTTGGATTATGTTGATAACACACTAGCATTAGTACCTGCCAGTATGCCTGCTACCTGTCACACCAGCACTGAATTGAAGCCAGTTAGTGAAAGTGTTAGACAGGTTCTTGATGCTCTCAGGAATATCAGAGAAAATCTTCAAAGCTCAATGGAGAAAAGAGATATAATTAGAGCCGGCCCAATTGATCAAACTCAAACATGCAAATAGTAATAAATAATAAAAATGTATACATCCCTTTTATATGAAATAATTAGTACTATATACAAGTATATTATATGAATTAATATGTGTATGTGGGCAATAAAGTTAATTCAACTGGGCAAATTCACTCACAGAGAGCATGTGAATTTGTGGGGTTTGATGTCCCATTGGTGCTTGGATCTGGGTCCCAACTTTTGGCCATATTCTTCTTTTGGTTTTCTCAAATTAACTTTTGTAGCTTGAGTGAAAATTGAATTTTGGGAGGTGGTTGGATATGGCAGCTTGATTCTTGTGACCTATAGATCTTAAGATTTTATTGTTGAGATTTGGCCTTAGCTCTCTACATCTGTTGGCTTGGTCTCTGGTCTGCTAGCAGATCAATTTGAATTTTGACACATGTATAAGAGAGCCTGTATGATGATTTGGACAGATTTGATTCTAGAGGTTCTCATTTTTTTTTTCTTTTTTAATCCAAGTTCTTAAATTTGGAAGTTCTTGGCCAAATGCAAGACTACCACAGTGGTTGTGACCTTCTGCATTTCCCTACTTGACACCCAGAATTGAAACTCTAGGATTTCTTTCTTCCTAATGTAATAAAAATAATAATAAACAAAAAGGAAGCCATTTGAGTTTTTACTCTGTGAAGCCATCTGGTAAGATTTAATTAATAATTAAGCTGAACAGTACTGCCCATAAAAGATTAAAGTAATAACTGGTTTGGGCTCTGTGCTAAGATTTCTGCATGGTGTGAAAAATGCCCATAAAAGAACAAGGATTGCTAAACACAAGACATGGATCTTCTCTTAGTGTGGTTTGCAGTTGAGTCAGCGCTTTGGATTACATGCAGCCCATCACATGTTCAAGAGTGCTTCTGCACACATGCAATGGAATTTTGTATACAAGTATTCTCTCGAGACGGCATTCGGTTTAATTAATTGTAAGTGATCTCCAAATACTTAATTCAACAATTGGAGATTTTGTGGGTTGTGGTGCTTAGCAATTCATTCATGTTATAACATGTTGAAATTTTTGAAGAGATATAGTTTTGCATACGGTTATGTTATCTCTTAACATAGTGTTACCAATTCACTCGTGTTATGATATGTGAAATTTTCCAATTAAAAACATGTTGTGCTGACCAACATAGCGTTATCAGTCCACTCATATTGTTTGAGTTGCTTTGGCGTTTCTTAATGAAGTACTTATCCAGACAAAAAAAAACTCAAACAGAAGTGGTCTTATACAATAATAATAAAAATTCGCAAATGTGGACAAAGCTAGCCGTATATAAATTTTGTATAACAAAACTTTGGTATTAAGAAAATAAAAATGTCACATTGGAGATCTTGAGTTTTGTACCTCAACAATACATAAAACCGTGGATCTTTTCAATGATTGTCTACCGATATTTGATCTTAAATATGCCTTTAATTTAATATGGTAACAATTCATCCATATCTCAAGCCTAATTTGACCACAAAGAGTCCACATTACTAATACAATCGGCATACGCCTTCGCGTAATTTATCGACACATTTTTCCTTTTAAACAATAAGAAGGAGAGAGATTTGAATTTACGAATTATTCTAACATTAGAAAGATAAATATCATTAAACCAAGAGACAGTTGATTACTACTTTGTAGACACTGAAGGGTCCAAAAATAATATTTGTATATATAAAATACAAATTTATAAATAAACTCAATCCTAGACATGTATTTATAGAAAAACCCAAGCACTATTTAAACATAGAAATACACCCAAAATCAACCACAAAGTCAACTTTTTGGGTGTGTTTATAAATGAATTTTGAGTGTGTTTATATGTTTAAATAGTGCTTAAGTTTTTTTATAATTTAAAGCTTAAGTTTTTTTATAATTTAAGCCTCCATTTTGGGTGTTTTAGTGAAACTCCTTATATAAAACTGTTCAAGCAGGAACCCAAATAAACCTTGGTAAATTGATGGGTCAAGTTTTTTTTTTTTTTTTTTTTTTTGGTGAAAGATGGGTCAAGTTCAAGTTCCATGTTTACAAGTTATTTTCAGAATGTCTAGAAAAGAAGGCCACTGAGAATGCGACCGATAATTTCACAAATGGATGACACACAGAACAGAAGGCTTGGTTTGGCCCTAAAGAGAGCCACACATCTCAGACTCACACACACAACCACAAGATTAAAAAGTAGGAGAGCTTATTAGTCCAAAAAAAGCAGCCAATCCCCCAACGCCACATGCCGAGATTAAAGTTAAAACAAAACGTGACTGATAGATAATCGAGGGCTAAAATTTAGGGCTTGCCACATATGGTTGAACTGCAATTATAAATTCTTGTAAGAAAGCTTTAAATAAGTCGACCCAGCCATTGATGAGCGGCAACCAGTAGTGTAAATTAGGCAGGGGCTTTATTTATAGCGGTGGACATGAAATAATAAAACTTTGATATAATTTTTTTTTAGTGTGGCCAAAGCTAGGAACGAGTAGGAGAATTTTCTCACACACATGGAAATTCGAATATGATATCACTAGTCTATAAATTAAGGTCATTTTCTATTGGGGTAGACCCGTTAGCAACTTTGATATAATCTTAAGAATAAAAGTCGGTGCAAAAAAATTTGAAAAAAAAACCATGCATTTGTGGCTCCATTATTGGTGTGGAGTGCGTGTACCACGATATATTTTGGGCCTCTCATCTTCTTCTCGTGATGCAAAGAAAATGGACCCATTCTTTTGCTTTGAACTTGCAACGAAAACTCAGATGCCTACAGTCAACTTCTGCTTCTGTGTGTGTGTATAAATTTAATTATTTATAATTATGACGTTTCTATTTTTGTTTATTTGTGCACATTAAGATTATGTTATGCGAAAGGGGCATAATCATGGTTTTGAAGCATTGGCCGAATAGTAAAATTAGTGTTTGCATTGTCATGATGGTGTGACGTTTGGTACATACATGCTCATGAATTCTATAGTTACACATTTTGTGGTCTCAAGTTCGAATTTCCTTGACACCTTGATAGTGTGTGTGAGAAACCTCATTCACCTTATAGTTTAGACTATCGCTTATATTAAAAAATATTTTAAACTTTTTTAGACATATAATTCAGGTGGAGACGGAAAAATTAGAATTATAAGGAAAAAGGGAAATATTATCAAATACCTTCATTTTGTTGCAAAGTTCTCAAATAGCAATATTACTGTAGCAAATCAACAATATAGACATTATCGTATAAAGACTATCTGATACTGTTTTCTATCGAAATAATGGGACAATATTGATAGTATTGACCTAATATCAAGATGATATTGAGATAAGTAGGCTATTTGTTATCATAGTCTAATGGTACTTTTCTTCTCAACGTTGGAAGAGATTTCAAGTTTGAATCTCCTTTTTAATTAGTTAAGAAAAAGGCGGTCGTGCGTTTTTAAAGGTACACACATTGGGCAACCAGCAGTAACGTTGGTTTTTTTTTTTTCTTTTTCTTTTAAATGGAAACAGATAAATTATAATCAATTCATGTGCCTCCTCCATCCTTTTGAAGTAGAACTTCCACGCATGTCTGGAGGGGCCTCCTCCATCCACAAACAGGGTGTAATTGAATCAAATCGATGTGCCAACCAAGCTAGAGCATGGGAGCATGGACCACAGAGTTTTTCGTTTCTTCTCTCTACATGCATGCTACCAACCACGGCCATCCATCAAGAACAACAGACCCCATAATACAAACGCAAACTTTACCAAACACAAAAGATTCAGTCTGTTTATAATAAAAAAGACTAGATTTAGAAGTTGCAGACGAAATACAATGAAAAAGTAGTTTCATAATAGTTATGCTGCACTCAGCAAACTGAAGGAGCAATCACAGAAAAAGACTCTAGAAACTGAACATGGTCTGGATTGAAACCATTGGACAGCTTAAACTCGCTTATGAAAATTCGGTTCTTGTCACAAAGTTATTGCTTCAAGAGACAATAAATTTGTGTTTGAACTTTAGAACACATCACTTAATTAATGGTTTGATTAGGGAAACCTAGTTGTGCTGAAAAGATAGAGCTTGGATTATTCAATAAACAAAAGGTAAAATATGAGAGTGCAAGATCCACTAAGGGCAAGGGTCCCAAATGACTATGAAAGTTAGGTACTTCCACTCAAAAATAGAAGATGTACATGTGTTTTACGGTGATTTGTTTCACGTATACAGAGTTTACTTTAAAGTTTCATACCTAATGAGATAGGACCGTGAAGGTTTTTCTCATTGCCCAAATAAAAGATTAATAAGAAGAGCAAAAATTGCCTAAAATGATGGTTTACTTCTAATAAAGGTCAGGGAACTCAAAATCTCAGCCATGGAATGGGGACGTCTCAGAAACCCACTAGGCCACAAAAACATAAGAGAACAAAAAAAAAACACTAGGGAGGAACAACAATGTCAGAGTTTGTAGCTCGAAATCTCTCTTCATTGCCCATCTTAGATCTCATCTGACAACAATTTGAAGATCTTCTGTCGAAAAACTCCAAACCCTTTTCTTATCCAGTGCTCCCTTTGATCACTGTGATCTTAGACCAACCTCTGCCATTTACAAGTCTCTATGTGCTTTTACAGCTAAGTCTGCTCCTGAAACATGGCACACATTAAAAAAACCAAACGTATTTAACCCCAATTCAAGATACACAGAACCAGCAGGCCTCCATATTCTCTGAACTCACATTTAAACTACTGCCTTCCGGTCCAAGACACATTTGTGACTTGACTTAGCCCCATACCCTTTTGGTTTTTATCTGAGTTTTGTTCATATTAATGGTGTCTGGTTTTGAAGGGTATAAACTTGAGAATGGAGTTGTGGCCTTGAAACATAAACAAAAACTGGAGCTGGGGTTGAGCCTACTTCTTGCTCTTGATCTTCATTTGATGAACTTTCGGGTTGCTGGCTCATTTGGATGATGATACATATTCTTGTTATATCATATAAAGTGGTTGCTTGAAAAAATGGTGTCCTGTTGGAAACCCT